GTTTACCTTCCAGCGAATGATTGCAGTCTATCCATGTTGAAATCCTCCACAAGACTGTAGACCAGTGATTGGGAGACTTCTATGAGTCATTTATAGAAAGACTTGTCCACTTTATACTCTTGGTCGGGCAGTTTGTAACAATCCCCCCGCCCACCACCCCATCCCCGCCCATCAGTGTTAATTTCTCTTCTGACTGTACACCGAGTCTCCTGACATACGTGGTTCTAGTTTCTTATGGTCTGTGTAATCAAGGTCTTCCTTTATGTAGAGCTCAAGTTCGCCCCCTCTTCTTCCATACTTGTCCTTCCTAATCAAGTTTTACTCCTCCATGATCATTCTCCAATAATATGCGCTATCTGACCTAATCTGTGCACTATCCCACCAAGCCTCAGCATTTCCAGTCTCATCACAGCTGTCTGGCTGTGTACAGACTTCCAATTCTCCTTCTGTGTTACACCACAGGCATTTGAGTTAAGTCTGTGAATACCCCCCCACCTTCTAACTGGGGATCTGAATGTTGTCCCTGCAGTTTTCTCTCAATCGTACATCCCCTGTTTCCTAACTTACCTTTGGGCTTAGGAAGACACCCTGTGACAAGCCTTGTTTAGAGGCTTCCTCACCAAGTTACTAAGTCCATTTGTGAAGATGACCTTCCCTTTCCTGGTCTGATGAATCCCATCTGTTCTTGGCAGTCCTTTGTCATCAAATGAAGTACCGTGATCAAAGAAGCCAGAGAGACAACAAATACACAGGCAGGCTTTGCTTTCATGGGTGCATCTGTGCCTACTTGGGCTTTTCCTTTTGTATGGAAAGTTTGCTGAGAATATCCTGAGTCTCTGTTCCCCTCACCTAAACACCCATCACTGTTAATGTTTGCTAGTCTGTCACTTCATCCTCTGTTTCTGTAAAAGGCATTCCTCATACCTAGGGTTTTTCCAAGACTTAAATAAAATCTAGGTTCTTATTCCTACATACAGGGTTCAAGGAGGAGAGGATTGAGTTAGTAAAAGAGGACTGAGTCATGAATCTCTTAAGAAGTCTTGTCACAAACAAGTCCATAGGATGGGCTGCATCCAAGAGTGTTGGATGATGTCATTGCGAGGCTGTTCTCTATCATCTTTGAAAGGCTGTGGAGACCAGGAGACGTCCTCAGCTACTGGAGAAAGGCATATGTTGCACCCATCTCCAAAAGAAGAAAAACAGACAGTCAGGGAAGTACAGGTTGGCCAATCAGCATCATTTCTATTATGAGGAAAATCATACAGCACATTCTCTTAGAAGTTGTTTATGTGAGCAGGAAAGAGAAGATGGTGACTGTGAATTAGTATAGACATAGGGTACGTTGTGCTTGACTGACCTGATTGCCTGTGATAAAATTACGAGGTCTCTTGTTAATGATTCAGATTCTACCTTGATACTGGTTACAGTTGGAGTTCCTCAGGACTCTGTCCTAGGACATGTCCTATTAAATGTCTTTGTCAATGACCTGGAGGAGGAGATGGAGTGCACTATCTTCAAATCTGCAGATGACACTCAAGTAGAGGGTACATTTGATATGTTTGAGGACAGAGCTGCTGTACAGATGGACCTCAACAGGCTGGAGAAATGGGCTGACATGAACCTTATGAAACGCAGCCAGGAGAAATGCAAAGTCTGCACCTGTGATGGACTTCATCCACTGCTGCTGTTCAAGCTGGGGCCTAACTAGCTGGGGAATAGCTCTGCTGGAAAGGACCCAGGGTGCTGGTGAGCAGCAATCTGTGCATGTGCCAGTACTGCAACAATGGCAGCAATGAAGGCCAACGGTATCTGGGGCTGTGTCAGTGGTCGTGTAGTCAGTAGAGCAAGGGAAGTGATTATTCCACTTTTATTTGGCACTCATTAGACCATATGTGGAATACCACATCCAGGTTAGCATCCCTCATTACAAGAAAGTTGTTAATGAATTTCAGTAAACCTAGTAGAGAGCCACCAAGGTGGGAGCACATGCCTGGTGGCTGAGAGAAGTGGATTTGTTCAGCCTGGAGAAGAGATGGCTTTTGAGCATGCCTAACCTAAAATATTCAGGAAGGTTATCAAGATGCCTGATGGCAGACTGAGAACAAAAGTCATAAACTGAGGCAGAGGAGGTTCTGACCAGATACAGGGAAGAAAAAAATCATGATGATGAAAATAATTAAGCTGAGAGAGGTTGTGCAGTCTCCATCCTTGGAGATTTTCAAGACCAGACTTGCACAAAGCCTTGAGTGAGCTGACCCTGCTTTGAGTGGGAGGTTGGACTAAAGACATCCTGAGTTGCCTTCCAGCATGGATGATGCTGTGATTCTGTAGACCTACTAAAGCTAATGCACATAGTATGTTTATGCAGTAACTTAAGACCTTGAACTCACATGCTTTAACTTTCCTAAACATTTCCCAACAGCCAAGTGTTAAGAATTCTTCTGAGAATACAGTCTGATGCTTTGCAGTAAACAAGCTTTTATTGTTTTGTTTTAATTAAGCTGAGAGTAAAGAAAGACAACAGCATGATGATGGGATAAGGATAATTTTCAAATCTACTGCTTAATTTGTCCTCCAGGGAAGTTATCTAGGCCTTCCTAGATAGGCATTCCTATCAACTGGACATATAGCTGTGAAGATATGATAATACTATCAGTTTATGCTAGAAAGTTAGAGGGCAATTCAGGAGAACTGGAGATTCCTATTTCAGATAGGTTTTTCTGGTTAACAAAGAAAACCAGTGTTGTAGTCTAGATAATAAAAACATCTGATTAGAAGCCTGAATTTCAAAGATATGAAGCTCCTGCAGTTCCCATTGTTTTAAGTGAAGCTGAATTTGCTGCCTAACTGTGAAAATAAACCAGAAATTTCTAAATTTTTGCTTGCACACATGAATACCTAAGGCTAGGTATCTAACTTCTTCTAAAGTACTTTACCTAAAGAGATACTCTTCTTTTTTTTTTTTATGGAGTAGCTTGGTATTTCACACACAGCAGATAGCAAAGCAAATAAGGTTAGAAAGTATTCACAATTTCTTAAATTTACATCATTTTTATTTATCATTTACTATATGAGTTCAGTTGGTGGGAATAGACACACATGGAGATTTAGACACATGGACTACATGTTGCAAGACTAGAAATTTTTGTCAAGAGGTTGTACTTGTCGGCAAGAGGATCTTGATTGGAATATTGATCTTGGAAACTACAGTCCATTGAACTATTTTTGTAAAAAGTACCTAGGAATAATTCTTAATTGCTATCAAAATATCTTTTCCACCTTATGAGTTGTCATAAGGCATTTTAAAAGGTGGCTTTCAGTCCCAGGGCTGGATTATCTCTTTATCATGGAAAAGTCAGAGAATGTGTTGTTGTAACAGTGATTGGAAAACTTGCTTGGGACCCTAAATATTTCAAATATTACTGTATTTTAACCAAGAACCTACTGGCTGTTTTAAGGCATTCTTTCTCTTTATTTTCTTGATGATGTCCTGCTTTGTCTAAATATCTCTGAAAGCTGATGAAATAGCTTCTGTCACATGCGATAGTCACTGGCTTATAGGTGCTGCTCTGGGATAAGGGAGATGTAGATTTAAGTTCAAGCACCCAATTAAGCTGAATAGGGATTTGAATTAGAAAGGAGGTTGGTGTACAAGTGCTCACAGATACCCTCTCTCCTTCTTTGATTCAGTTTTAGGTTTAGTTATGATTGAGAAGTGCAAAGTATTTTCTCAGGGTGTAGTTGAAAAGGAAGGTGACTGCTGTGTCTGAGGGTCTGGTGTGAGTCTAGACATTGGCTGCAGGGTCTCAATGGTACAGCTGTATGAGGACAGAGGCAGGTATGTCTGTGCTGGTAGTCAGTGTGGGTTTTGTTGTAATGAGATTAGGAGATGCTCAATTCGTGTTCACATTACATTACAAATAATAGTGGAAAAGCCATCTGATCATTTGAAATTTCTTTTGCATTTTCCTATAGCAATGATCTTCAAAATTTTGTTCATAAAAGCCACATATAAGAAATAGTATATTTTTAAACAGATCTGATCACTCATTAAGTCTTACATGTTAAAATTTCAATCAGGAAGTCCTAATAAAAGTAAAAATAGGTAGCTTTTGGAAAAAAAGTAAAAATGTAAATGATCTAAAATACTATGATCAGAAAATCTGCAGACTAAATTTTCGTAAATAGTAAGTACAGTCTGCATTTTTTCTTGAACTGCAGGTTGCGTGTACAAGATGAAAATTAGTGAGTGAGAATACCTGGTATTATGAGCAGAGGGAGGTGGTTAATTGCCATTACTAGTGAACATTTTGAGATTTCCCAAACTTTAGCTTTGTTTAATGCTGTGATGTAAAAAGACATCTCGTTTGTGGAGTGAAGTAGTAGTTTTAATCAAACTGAGTCATACAGGCCAGATTTTGGTCTCGTAAGTCCTTGGGCTCATGAATAAGCTTATTCTTCAAGGAGGCATTATGCTGGTACAAGAAAAATGGGAGAAGGGTGTTGGAACATAACAGATTGTAAGGCCAGGTAGAAACATGTACAAAACATTAGGGAGGGAGAAATGCAAAGAACTGGGACTATTTCGGTTAAAGGGGGAAAAAAATGAAATAAAAAGGAAAAAAGTAACACAGGCAGAGCACAAAAAAAAAAAAAAAAAAAAAAAAAGTATTTTTAAATGAATTTTTGTTCTCCATGTAAAAATTTGGTTCAGTCAATCTCATATGTTCCACTACAGTAATCCCTCTTTGTGATGAGTTTATGAGATTGGCATTTTTGGGGGGAATATAGTATTTAATTATTTCTTCTTTTTATGTGGGCTACTGGGAGCTATGCTTTTGTAATCACATGTATACCAAATGGCCATAGAGGAGGAAGTCACGTGCTAGCTAGTGAACTGATGAAATCAAATTGGAGGGGAATGATCCAGGGGGATGAATATCTCATGCTGGCACCAGGTTAAAGCTGTGAATGTGTTCCCCTTGATGGTATTCACACAGGAATCAAGGGAAGTGTGTAGAGGGCATGGTGGAAATCTTTGATATGCTGCTGGCTACTGCTGCTCGGTTTCGCATGATGAACCTTCAAGGGGAGGAATTTGTGTGCCTTAAGTCCATCATCCTGCTCAATTCTGGTAAGTGGTGTGCTTTGTCACTTGGGTAATTGTGGTTGCTTCCTCATGGGGTTCAATGTTGCTTGTTGTTACTAATGATGTTTTTATTTTGAGACAGCAGCAATCAAAAGGGAGCTGTCAACACAGGTGCAGGCAGAGCCACCAGGCAGGGATGGAAGCGGGCAAATCTGTTCGGTGGTGTAGATGGGACCCAGCAAATTAATGCAGTTGATACAATGAATGCAGCTTACGTGAAGGGTGATCAGAGCAGTGTTCTGAACTAGGTGCTGGCAGGTCTTATTAAAGCTCTGATTATAAGACATGGTAGCAGCTGGAGCCACACTTAGGGCACCCAAAGACAATGCTTAGTTGTAAACTTACACCTTATTTTTTTGACAATGGCAAGATAAAGGGAAATAATGGCAAAAAAAGTGGCCAAGTTTATCATAGTTTTGTTTATATTAAAATATAGGCATCTAAAACTGATACCATCACCTTCCACTCCCTTTATAGTTGATGAAATAAGTATTTTGGGGCTGTAAATCCTATTCTGAAGTATACTTCAAAAATAGGTGACTAGATAACAAGTGTAGGTATCGACATAAATATGTAAGGTTAGCTGATTTGAATTCTGCATGAATCTGGTGGCACACTAGAGGATCCTTTTCTGTTTAAAATAAGAAAAAACTCCAGACAATTTATTTTTAAATGCAGAAATGAGGCCCACAGTGTTCTTACAGTAGTGATAGCGGTCAAAAAAAATAATGTAGTCACCAAAGTCAAAATTACAGACTCAGTTCTCTGCTAAGTTGTTACCTAATGACTAAAGATGTCTGTTTCCCAACCCTGAGGATTGACCTGCTGGTTCTCCTATTTGCCTGTTGGGTTTGAACTCACGGATGGTATCAGCCTCTAGACAAAATACATGTGGAAAGATCTATGTCCTTTTTATCTGGTGGTCTAACAGATCATTTGCCCAAGTTGCACGAAATACGAATTCAGGTAATTCCCACCAAAGGCTGATTCTAAACACAAGTGACTTTGCTTTATTTTTTAGGCACTTCGTTTATGGAAACTTGGTCCTGTTCTACTAAAAAAAAATAATAAAAATGGTTAAAGTAAATTTATATATTTATACAATCAAATATAACATATTTCATTTATGTTCTATGAGATATTAATGTGGTTCAGGTTTTGTTGTGATTGTCACCAGTTACCAAAAAGTGACGTCTGAGGCAAGCACCTGGTATATTAGACATGAAGGGCTATTGTTTTTATCTTGGATGCCAGGGTGTGACAATTGTAATTACTCTTTAACATTTTATTTTCCTTTATTGTCCTGATAATTATAACAGAATATTTTCTAGAGTTAAATATTCTTCCTGAAAATTGATGCTCTCCCAGATTTTGAGCTAGTATGTTGAAATGTAACTATCTGTAGGAGCGTAGCTCGCTGAAAACAGGCATGGAATGCTAGAGGGCCTGCACAGGGAAAACTCTGTTGAACAGTTTGTCTAAACTAATATAGTAGGCCTCAAGGACGCTTTGGCCTTGAGGGTCAGAATAGAAGAATTAGAAGCTAACATCCGTATGAGGCAGAACGCATTAGTATTAATAGTAAAGTGATAGGTAGAAGCAGATGACTGATGTATGTATAGCACAATTAGAGTTTATGAAAAACTGCAAGTCATGATGACTTTGGAAAATTATGCTATATAAGAAGGTGCATCTGCACAATAAAACGAGTTTCCTGATATAACTCATATTGAATCTTTTGTGGATTCTCCAACTCCCGTCTCCGCAATTATCCTCTTAAATAAATGTAGAATATGTAACTGATTTATAGAAATATTGAATTAAAATTAGAAAAAAAAAATAGAAGTGTAAGTTTGAATAAAACAAATTAGATGTTCATATCTTGAGCATGAAGACTTCAAGCCACACTGTTTAGAGTTTTTGTCCCACTGCTGCATTTAGTATTGATCCAGAAAATCCCCCGAGGGAAATTTGTGGAAAAAAAAAAAAAAAAAAGGCAAGTGAAGTCAGTGATAATCAGAGGCAGACTTTCTTCTGCATGTAAGAGAGATGGGACCACTGAGTGAGGCCAGGAGATAGTAGATCTTCGTTCCTTGAAATTTCACATTCAGCAGGTCTGAACCAGTGGTGCTCTGCGTGGTAGAAGGTCATAGCTGATCTGATGATCTGATGAGGGATCTGATTTTGAGTGTGGGGTTTTTTTACATTGAATGAAAGTTTATAGCTGCTCAGAAGTCTGGCATTTTTACAAAAGTCTTGATGGTGATAGATCAGAGGGCACGGTTTCGGTTGAGCTGTTACAGGTTCATGATGAAAGCAATTTATAATGTTGATATGCAGAGCATCATGTATTACTCTGGATTCCATACTGCACTTATTGCAGTATATCTGCGTATGCTGCAAACTGAATGTATATGTGTATATGGCCGCAGAATGTACGTCTATATATCTTTTAATTATCTCTGTGCGTAAAGGTATCTGATTTTTCATTTCAGTTTTTACATTCCTATAACCAACTGATTTTCTAACTGTCTGAGGAGCTAACTACTAGGTGGTGGGAATGCGGACACAAGTTTCTGACTGTCAGATCCTTTAGATGCCCAAATTAGGAAGCTACACTGCATTACAGAGATAACTAGGTAGCATAATTTGGGTAGCATAGCTGTGTGAGTGTTATTTGGCATAGATACTCTAAGACGTCTTCTGGAGATGCATGTCTTTATAGAATATAGCCAGCCTCCTTTAGGTAAAGTGTTGGATCACGTGAAATATTATGAGCTCTGAAGCACACAGTGTACACGATGTATGAGGAGAGGCTGAGACAGCTGGATTTGTTCATCCTGGAAGAGGGAAGGCTAAGGGAGGGTCTAACTGCAGTCTTCAGATAGCTGATAAACAGTTTATGGAGAAGTCAGGGCCAGACTCTTCTCAGAGGTGCAAGAGGAAAGGATGAGCTGCAATGGAGATAAACCACAGCAAGTGAGATCTTGATTAGATGAACAGAACAAAAAATCTTCCCAGTGAGAGAGGTTAAGCACTGAAGCAGGTTGGCCAGAAAGATGGCAGGATCTCCACCCTCAGAGATATTCAAAACTCAGCTGGACAAAGCTCTGGGCAGTCTGACCTAACCCTGAAGTTACCGCAATTTGAGCAGGAGGTTGAACTAGATGACCTCCAAGCCTCCCTTAACCCGATTTTTTTTTTTTCTATGATTACACATACACAAATCTTCTACTAAAGAAAAAGCAGATAAACACAAAATGAATTTCTGTCCCTTGTGCTGTCTGTATTATATATGCATGTGATTAAACTACCTGATCTCAAAATTGTTTAAATAAGTGGATTAATGAAACAAATTGAACTAATTATGCTACATTTCATACTTAAAAGCAGTCTGCATTTGCATTCTGAAGCTTTGTGTGGGTTTAATTCACTGGGTGTACACAAACATTTCTTTATTAAATCCTTGGACATCTGTTAGTTTCTTCACATGAGGTACTGCTGTTTATTGCTTTTGTTGGATATTTTTTATTTTTATTTTTATTTTTTTAACATCTTTCAAGGCTGTTTAATATCTTTACACTCCTTTTCCATGTGGTCTTGGGCAGAATGCAAGCAAATTATTTTTTTGTTAGTTTCGCTCAGTGTGTGTGGAAAAGATGGAAGGTATTGTTTATAAAGCAAAATACACATTTATGCTACTTCCAATTTTTTTTCCTGAGATATCAAGGCAACATCATGTCTGTAACAACAAGGACAACATTGTCTCTAGCTGCATAAGAAACCAGAAGGTGCCCCTCTAAAGCTGCAGCAATAAATCTTTTGACTAAAAAGGAAAATTTTATTTTTGAAAAACACATTCAGCTCAATAATAAGGGGCTGTTACATTTGGAAATAAGTGTTAGAAACATGAAAGGGCAACATGATGCCAGATGTTTTACTTTTGAGTGTATCTGAAAAGAGGAGTGGTGCTATGTGGCAAAGCAACAGGCTTATCATTTTGGATCTGAAGATGTAGGTCACAGCTGCCTTAGCAGCTGATTTACAAAATCAGTTAACTTGTTAGTCCCTGGAGATGGAAAGATTTAGCTGTTTTTACGCATCCTGTAGACCTCCTGATACATTGTTCCATGTGACTCTTCATTATTCTTTTCTCCTCATTTTTCCAGCTCCTGTTAAATTGTGCTTTTTATTTATTTATTTATTTTGGGATCTGGATGATTACACAAGTGCGTGGTACAGAGCTGAATTTGCTCATAGCTCAGCCTGGTTTGCTACAGATCCAGAGCAATGGGGCACAGTGGAAGAGGAAGAAGAGCCCTAGGTATTGCTTTGTAAGCCTGAACTCTAAATGTAAAGGTATTTTAAACTGGGGTTTATTGTGACAGAAAAGATGTAGAGAGCGTTCTCCTCTACAGTAATATGCAAAAATATATCACTATATATAATGACACACATGAAATTATATCACTATACATGAACAGCTGGCACGGTAGCACTGCAGTCCCCAAGGGACCCTGTTCCGTGCATAGCTCTATGTTACAGCATGGACCAATAGGCTTTACTTGTTTGCAGGGTGGTGCTTTCTCTGTTCTCACTCCTATTAGTTTTACAATACTGACCTAGAGAAAGAGCTGGAAAACAACCTGGTAGCTATTTAATTTAGGCTTGCTTTCAGCTTCAGAGCTTGGAAAGACCTTTGAGACTGTTAAATTTCAGTTTGCTAAGACAATTTTCTGCAATCTTGTTCCAAAGCTCTGCTTGTGTGTGTATTTGTGTGATGGATAGCTGGAATTTCTTTTGGGGAAATTTCTGCTCATTGGCCTGGGGTAGGAGCAATCACTGGGCGGGCAGAAAGGAAAACCAGGAGTAATTTTTCTTGGCAGTTGTTGACTGGCAATTGCCTGAAATCTTTACCTTTTTTTGGGAGTGCTTTTTTTGATTTATACTTCTTAATAGCTTCTGGACTAGACCGAGATGAGAAACAATTCCTCCTAACAGATTTTTTTTTCTTTTGTTGGTTTCAAAGTTATGAAACTAAGAGGTATTGCTACAAGGGCACAATAGCATCCTCTGGCTGAAGTCAATTGTTCTGGAGGCACTGTGGGCTTATGACACTAATATTTCCTTCTAATGGACTCTGATTCGTCAGTAATATTTAAGAATCTTGGCCCCCACAGGTGCCTGCTAAGCTATAAGGCCTGGTATTGTCAGTAGGCATATGTGAGGGTGGTTCAGAGTTATTCAACTGAGGAAAGCCCCAGAAGCTGTTTCTCTTTGTTGAATTTATTTCAGTAAAAATAATAATCATAAAAAGCTTTGTGAGAAAAGAGGCCATTGTACTACGTCTGTATCAAATTTGAAGCAATATTCATTATCAAAATTAAGAGCTCTGACTGATGATTTTCAGACATTGTGCTGTGTTTGACTTACACTTTCGGTTTTTCAAAGCAGTCTCTCAAGCTCACTTGCTCCCTCTCTCACAGTGACATTCACAAACACAAATTTATATTTGTTTTTAGTACAGAAGACCCAAAGTCATAACATCTACTTGCAGGTTACAGTAGTTCTAGGTGTCAGGTCCTTGAAGAACCAAGATGATGTGAGGTGAGGTATGCCAAGAAGACGGTAAAGAAAATCTCTATTTCCCTGACTGCCCAGATGCATGGCAAAATATTCTTATCTTCGAATCGGATCGTATAGCCCCCAGGCTACAAACAGAACAAACAAGCTATTTGTGCATGTTAGTCTCTGTGAGTGTTTATGTGTGTGTGTGAGTCTTTTTTTCTTAATATCACTAACTGCATTGCATATTGTGCTGTATATATAATGCTTTAAAGAAAAGCGAAACAAAAAGTAATTCCAGAAACCAATTTTTTCCAAGAACAAAATCCAAATTTCTTCTTGGCTCTGTGAGATGATGCAGAAGGGCTAAAGCACAGGATTTGTCAAGTACATTATAGACACAGGGCAGTGAACACACCGTGGTCAAGCCAGTTTGATTGTATTAGCATACATACATCTTAAGCTTTTGCTGCCTCAGGATTGGATTAGAGTAATACGACCTGTTCAGAGTTATTGGCTCAGTACAGAGGATTAAAAAAACTGGTGCTGAATGCAAGAGCTGCTTTTTGGCAGCACAATGCTTTTATAACCTGATTCGCATTGGCTGTGTGTTGTCACCTAGAACAAATTCAAGTTAAAAATGTACAAAATAGTTTAGAATTTCCCATTTAGAAAGCTGATGTGCTTCATGCACCCAAGAATTACTGCTGGCAAAAGCTCTTATGCCTGGGTTAGAGCGTTTTATAGGAGATACAGAGGGTCTGTTGGAAGGGGGAGTTTGAAGGTGTTTTGATCTCTGGAAAAATTTCCTTCTGGTCCAAATCTTCAGGCTGCTCACTTTCAGCAGTAAGCAATGTAACATGGCTAAATTTACAAAGGTTGCTTTGGACATGGTTTTTAAAGGACAGTCAGGTTTGCAGGTGAAGTAACACACCTTTCAAGGTTCTTGCTCAGGTGAGAGGGTTTTGTTGAGGCAAGTGCATAAACATAACCCTGCTTTTGTTTACAAGTTTTGTAGTAATATATTATTCAGTTCTTGATTGACTAGCAAATCACCAAAAAGCAAACACCAAACAGCAGAAAAGATGTCAAAAGCTGCCAAAGGCCTGGACTGGTCAGTGAGTATTGCAGAAGTCTCAAGGGGCAACAGCATGTCCTCAAGGTTTTGGAGACAAGTGACTGAGAAGAATGCAGCCCTTGGGTAGGGCTAGCTGCAGGTTGCAGGCACTGCCCGCCCCCAGGCCCAGACCTTGGGTGGACTCGGGTGTGGAAGAGGCACCATGTGCCCCCTCCTGCTTTGCCCACAGTGACCAGGTCCAAGCTCCAGGGTCATTCAAACCAATGACCTGGCTGGTAAGCAGGAGGGTTCGCACATGGTCATCTCCCATGTTTTAACACAGCTGAAGGGGCCAGCCATGAGGCGTACCCTGGGCAAGTCTACTCCATCAAAGTAACTTTTGCCTGTGTTTTTTTTCTTTTCTTTCTCCTTCCTGCTCCAGGTGTGTACACTTTTCTTTCCAGCACCTTGAAATCTCTGGAAGAAAGAGACTATATTCACCGTGTTCTGGACAAAATCACAGACACTCTGATACACTTAATGGCTAAGTCGGGTCTTTCACTGCAGCAGCAACACAGACGACTGGCTCAGCTCCTCCTCATCCTCTCTCACATCAGACACATGAGGTGAGAGCAATCATGCAGTCATCCCTCTTTCACTGGCCCATGCAAGGGAGGTTTCGCAAATGCACACACACACACTTTTCCTTCACAGGTGGGAGTGCAAACTGTGTGTAGAGCTGTAACAAAAAAACCCCAAAGAAAACCAAAGGTCTGCTTTCCATAAAGATGTATGGAACGTGTATGTTGTATCATGGTGTGAAATGAGTAAACATTTTCCCCATTTGTTTCTTCTAGTTTTCTTTTCCTTTGCTTCTTGTTTTGACAGTTCTTGTTTTGATAGTTTGATAGTTCTGTAAGCAATATTTACTTTTATTGTTATGTGCATCTTGTATTCTGTTTGAAAAGTACCAAGTAGAAAACTAATGTAGCAGTAGCCTGGCTCTGCAAACTGTAGTCTCCTGTAAGATAAGATTTAACGAAACTATCACTTTTACGGAGTCACTTTTCACAAGTGGCTTGACTGCAAATCACTTTAGAAAAGAGATTTGGATCATTATGTGTATTTTATGGGTGAGGATAAACACAGATCTACTGAATCCCAATCTGGAGGACTGTGCCCTTTGCTAACTAGAGGTGAGGTGTCTGAGGCACTTTGTTAGCAGTCACTGCTCTCCAAAAGTAATTACCTCTTAAAGTAGTTTCTGGCGTGTTACCAACATGGCAAGTTGGTATGTATGGATATGTATGTATGGATATGTATGTATGGATATGTATGTATGGATACAGTATAGATTCTATTTTCACGAAGGGACAAGAGATGTTACACAGGTTTTAATTCTCATTATTTCAGCTAATAAAATTAAAGTTAGAGCAAGCACCACATCACGGATACTAAAGCTGAAACATGCAGATTTTACCTCCTGGGCTGATATACAGGTCTTCAGGAGAAAGTCAAAGGGGGTGTGTGTGTGCGTTTTTTACTTCTGTATTTTTGTGGAGTTTCTTTGTCTTCATGTTAATCCCTTTTTTTTTTTTTTTTTTTCCCTTATAAGAAGAATTTGTACAATTAAGGAAGTTCCAGATGCACAGTGCAGTTAATTATTGTTTCCATAGTTTTGTGAATGGATACTATTACAAGTGAGCATTTGCAAATAAATTGCCTGAGGTTTTTTCCTAGGAAAAAAATCTGTTATTTCAGGTTTTATTATGGGAAAGCCAAGATTCATCCCATCCACTTAGTCACAGTGCCTGAATTAGGAGTCCATGTGCTCTAGTTTACCTTCTAGGCAAAAGAGAGCAAAAGAGCCACCTTTAGAAGGCAACTTGCTTATGGGCAGTGTGAAATGTTTGTTGAAGGTGCCTTCTGCTAACTGCAGCAGGAGCATACAGAAACTGCACCAAATTAGTTGTTTTGTACAAGGTGGAATTTATATGAACTTAATAAATATTATTAACCGATTTTTTTTCCCCCATAGCATACTTGAAAAGTAACTAACTGTTGTTTCATTGCAACCCACAGCAACAAAGGAATGGAGCACCTGTATAATATGAAGTGTAAAAATGTAGTTCCACTCTATGATCTCTTGCTGGAGATGCTGGACGCTCACCGACTGCATGCCCCAGCAGCCAGGAGTGCTGCACCGATGGAAGAGGAGAACCGGAGCCAGCTGACAACTGCATCAGCTTCATCTCATTCCTTGCAGTCTTTTTATATAAACAGCAAAGAAGAGGAGAATATGCAGAATACAATATAAATGAAAGTCAGCATATATAATGATATGAGAAACCCAGCAGCGTACTACCTTACTACCTTGCTCATGCTTCATTTCGTCTACAGTGACACCTCTGTAAACACTCCAATGACAACAGTTACCTGCATTTTCCATTTGAGTGTTTGTTGAGCGTTTGCCTAAATTTATTGCATATCCTAAATGGAAGACATTTCATTGCTGTGGACAGCCAGCAAGGATTGTCAGGCTAACTTGATTTAACATCTGCAGTGTTTTTCTTTAATTTTGCATGTACGTTGGGTAAGTCCTAATCAAAACCAAACATTCATTTTACTATAAATTAACAGGCCACCACCCATATGTATTGGTATCTTCAGTAGCCTTTGTTGATATCTACCCCAAATGCTGAGCTCACTTAATCCTTTACTTGCTTGAAACTTTGAAGCAGTTTGGTAGAGATTCTGGATGACTTTCGGAGGGGGGGCGGTGTGTAAATGGAAAGTTGATTGGCATCTTAGTGCGTCATAGTGAAACTGCGCTGTTAGTGACTGCCTTGGTAGTTTAGGTAGATTCCCAACTCTCTTCTTTCTACAGTGGAAAGGAACCTCTGTCTGAGAATAGTCCTGTTTCACCTTGCTGGCTTACATCAACAGACAACTCCCTCTCAAGATCATACTGACCGAACTTGTAGGTACCCTTATCATAGCCTCTAGCCAAATTGCATTGCATGCATTCTGTCTGTCTGATCCTACAAAGCTAAATTGCTCTGTTGCTTGGCAGTGTGTAAATCGAGGGCAACAGGGCAAACAGTGATAACATAGATAATTACTCTTAAATCAGACCAAAATCATCAGGTCTTAAATAAATAATCTTCACACACATACATGATCCAGCACTATTTTATAAAAAAACCTCCCCCTGTCCTTTGCTTTGTTGTGCTACAAACCAAGGGGTGAGGATACCAGTGCACGATTGGCATAGCAGGGTGGGATGGTCCCATCTCACTCAGTAGAATGTGGCCTAGCACTATGTGGGAAGGGTGGCATCACAGCCAGAGCAGTAGGCTTTGCATTGCTTTGGCTTTCTTTGCCTCTCGTTAGAGCATGCTCAGAAATCACTGTTACGTGCCAGCTCACCTGTGACACCAGAACTGGGCAATGAGCCTCAGACATGGTGAAGACTCTGGGACTGCATGTCCAGGAAGATAAACCTGGCTTTCTCCATGCATGTGTGTAACTGTTGCTCATAAGGATTAGTCAGATTCTTCAGATCAACTGTAAATATACAAAAGCTCCACCGACATCAAGAGTTTCAGCAAGACATGAAGGAGAGAGACTGAAGAAATCTATACTATGTGGTATTAAAAGTAGAAGTCGGTGCTGCTGTTTGCCTCTATGCTAGAAAATTAAATGTGTCAGGGAACGTTGCTGGGTACTGGAATGTGGTTATTACATATGCCAGGGATTTTTTATTAGTCTAATCATAAACTTTGCCTGTGCTAGCTGCATTTCTGGTTTACAGGTGCAGTTTGGGAGTTAGCAGGGACCAGGGACTATTCCAATAGTTGGTTGGAAGCGACCACCCTGCCAGTAAGGACATTTCACAGCACATGCGTAAGCTGCTCCACAGCAGTTGGCCACAGTGCTAGAGAAGTGTTCAGGGATGCTTCTTTTACTGCTATAGTTGAAACTTTTATGTTAGATTATGTTGATTGGAATATCCTGTAGTAACTAAATATAGGAAACAGTGCAACTAATGCCATACAGGAGTGCCTATGTCTAATTATGCTCCCTGTTACACAAGCAGAGTCTGTGTGCAATGAGCTCAAGTACCATAGCAATTGTGAAGGCAGCAAGGCATAGGATGACTTTGTGCTCCAAGTCAAGGATTCAGTTCTTCAGTGAATGTACATAATTATGTCTGTAACAGTTTCATGTACATATCCAAGGATATGTGCAGTTTAAAAGTCTAAAGCTAGATGCTACCTATGTTTGAGACGATTCCTTGAAAACTGTGCAAGCCTAAACATGTGAAGCAGTCACTGTAAGTTAACAGGCCTTTTATTGATGCATGTTATATTGTCATTTTTTTCTGAATGTGCTGAAGGATTTGTCTTTTTGTGTATTGAGTAAGAGTGTGTGTGTGTGAGTGTGTGTGTGTGCAAATTTGGTACCTAAGGGCTTTTGGAGGGCTCCTAAATGCCTTGAAAAAAAATGCAGATTTTTGTTTTGTTTAGTAGCTGTTTTTCAAGTGTGTTAGAAAAATCATGAATGTCCTGAAATGAGTGCAGGCTAAGATCTGAATGGAGCACAGGAATCCCTGTAGTTACACTTGTAGTTACACTTGTAGTTACATCATCGTTCACCTGTAGCCCAGTGTGCGTTAGAGCTGCTCTTTAAATACTATCCGTGCAACTTGGTGTTCTCTAAGACAGAACACACAGATCAAGCTCATAAGCTGCAAGGTAAATTGGTTTAAAAGAATGCCTCCCTTCCTAGTCTCAGAACAGTTCATTAAATCGATTCAAGTGTAAATTTGGCCTAGAGGAAAAAAAAAGTAGTTCACCAAGAGCAAATCACAACAGAGGGTCAGATTCAGACAGTACTTACATAGGGCAAGTATCACTACACTCTACAGATTTTCCCAGTGAAACTGGGTAAGTGTGATACAAAGTGGTATGCAGCAGACAGAAGGGTACTGTAGTGTGTCTGCGAACATAAGGAATAATCAGTCAGCTCACAATCTTAATTATGAACACTTTCCTAGGCTCAGCCCGTGCAAGGAAGTAATTGAGATTCAATCAGTCCTCCCATGTTTGTGGTGATGACAGTGAAGGGAAGCCAAGAAAGAAAAATAGTGATTCCCAGTAATACATTAATTTACCTTGGGGAAGTTTCAGGATCTGTGTCATTAACTTGTTCATGCGATTTTGATTGAAGCAGCACCTTAATGAATATAGTAACCTTCCCATAGTTACCTATAAAGATGATTGTCCACATATCAGGCAGCTGGATGTAGCTATTCAATTGATTAAACAAAGTCTATGGTACAAAAAGTGGCAACTTTTTTCATATGTAGTTCTGAATTATGCTGTCCTGTATGTAAACAAATGTGCCTGACATTTGCTAATTGTTATTTCACAGGACGATATTTCATGTGTGTATATATATATATATACATATGTATACATATATACACATATATAGTTTATATTTGCAGCTGACAAACCAGTACTACCTGAATACCTGGTGCTGGATATTAAATAACAATATATCACATGTAAAAAAAAAAAAAAGAAAACTATTCAAGGCAGCTAATTATGCTTTTACCAAAACATTCATAGTGATGTCTCTGGATAGCTAATGAAAAAATTATTTTATAATGTTTATACATGGGTTTTTAAAAAAAAAAAAAATCAAAAAATAAAAAAAAATCCCTAGAGATATAGACAATGTAATACCAGCACAAGCCAAACAGAAACAGACCAGATGAACTTGTTTTGCTTGAGAATATGGTTGTTACTGAATTATTACAAAAATCTTGGGAGGTGGGGGAGGAGGTAGGGTGATGTGTAGCACTTAGTGTCTGAGTTTCCAAAATATGTGAAAGCTACTCTGGTTTGTAGTGGTTCGAGCCATGTCTCGATGTTGCAGACTTTGTCTCAGGTAAAACTCCCAGTTGGGGCAGTAGGATTTGTACTGGGGTAAAATAATTTAAAGAGAGTTTCTTGGTGTGTGTTTGTGGTAAATTTACTATTATGTTTCAGTGCCATCTCTTGATGATTTTTCTCCTTCTGTACGCTGAGGGGTTTAATAATTTAAAAATATAACTAAAGAAATAATCTGAACCGAGGTCCCAAGGATGTTGCAAGGACTGCTAGCGGGTCACTGGACTTGAAACTGAAAAACAAGAAAACAAAAGAAAACCCAAACCACCCGCTTTATCCAAGCCAGGGTTTGTATTGGAGCCCCCATCCATTCTAATTGATACCGACTGATTCCTTAAGAGTTGTGCCAAACATTTAAAATAAAACAAACTACCAGCAAACTAAAAATTCTGCCATACTAGGGCCTTAGTCTTATCACGGGCTTTGGCAGGAACACAGCAAGCCTCTCTTCTGTATAGAATATGCTGATTTAAAATTAGAATGCAATCCAACCTAAAGCTAATGGATTTTGTATAGAAGGTATTCTCAGCTGAACTTACATGAAGTGCATTTCTTACTTTGAATAAAGGGACGGCTATTTGCCATGCTATCTACCACCATAGTATAACTTTACAGTTAGAAATTCAACACACATAAAAGGAGGGTCCTGTTAACAATGCTATTGTAATACAAACTAGTCTTTGCTGTCACCTGCGACTATAGCATAAGCTCAAATTGATCTGAGAATTTTAAATTAATATTTCCCTAATATTAATGTCCTACCCTTTCTACTTGCAATTCCCTTTCATCTTTCAAATGTAGATAGCCTTATATCCTGAAAGTTGTTTTCAAAGTGATTGTTGCCCATAAGGGTATTCGGTTTTGCACTGTGTTAAAAAAAAAAAAAATAAAAAAAAAAAAAATTTTTTTGCATTCAAACGTGCCTAAAGAAACAAACAATCAAAATTTAAAAAAATGTATACGCTGCCATCTTGCAGATTAGTATGCTCTGTACTCCCATGTGCCTATAATTAGAAGTCTGTTTCTTCGGAAGGTGCCCATCAGAAAATGAAGGGATAAACTGCTGGTCACGAGACTTGCGTTAACAAGCCACTTTATGTATCACCTTATTGTATATACTATAAAACTAACGCTTTCATGTGCACTATGTAGTCTGTCAATGGAAAGTCCTTTCTTTGGTATAGGCTCAGCTGCCATAATGTATTTGTGGAAGTATTCTGTTCTTTCACTGATGCATGTAAAATTATTGATGTCTTTGTTTTGGTGAGTTTTTTTTTTTCCCCTTTGTTTTGCACCTAAAAAGTTCTAAAAAAGTCTAAATGAAAAATCTGGTAGGCTACCTGATCGGTGCAAGATTTTTATCAATGTATTTGATGTTGAAAATAAAGAATTAACCAGAGCACTTTGTTTCATTAGTTATCTTCTGCATAGTTTTGAAAATGTGCTTCTCTTATTGTTTTCCAGTAGTCAGCAGAATGGTACACTATTTTTTACAGAAACAGAATGTGTCTGTTTCTGTACATCTAAGTGAAAACTGTTTTTTAATTAGTTTCTTCACCTTTCCCAAAAGACGTTAGACAGTGGCCTTATCTAGAGTCAACAATGTCTTAGGTCTAGTCTCTAGTATTCCTAATGACACCAAGGAAGTCATCTAATTACTTAGTACCTTATATGCTTTAATGTGCTTAGTATTTGATAAGATTTACGTTCCCTATTTTGGCGTGTGAAACAGATTATGGTGGAAGAGACAGATGTGTGAATTTAGCATTCTGTAGTTGACTGCCACTTACCATGAGTTAGGTAATATCAAGTAAAATAGCACTTCTTGCCCGAGGAAAGCTAGTCTTCAGGGAAAAAAAAAAAAAGTCTTTAAGATGTCAGGAAGTTGATGAAAAGAAATAAAAGATACTTTTGTCAACATAAAAACACTTTGAACTTAACCGTATCCTGTAAAATACTCTCAGAATTATATTTGGTCTTTGCAAAGAATCCAACTAGTAATCTATAGCATTTACATGTATACGTAGGTATTTCAATACTTGTAGATAAATATCTATCAATCAGTAATATAGGGAAAATATAGTCCCTATACTGAATTTTTTAATCTGTTTTCTGCACTCTGCTTGTTCTGAGTGGAACTACTGGCTCACAGATTCCTCTCTCTTCCTACATGAATATATACATAAAAGCTCTTTGTTTTTATGTAATGTTTCACTGTACATAACTAACTTAC